GTTATCTGTTTGTTCATTTGAACATAACAGCCGCTTAGTATATTTAGTTCGGGCATGTAAGATGGAAGTTTTTAATGGCATTATCAAAAATTATTTGAATTAGTATATACACGTATATAACACGTATGTTTCTTTTCGCATGGAGATTGTTTTTTTATGTGTGCAAATTAACAGAAACAGCTTAATATCCCTTATCCTTTAAGACACAATGTGCTGTTCTTGCTCCCCATGTTAAAGACCAAAGTTAAGTTTCTAGTGTGTGAATCTGTCGTTTATTTTTATTTCTGACAATGTGAACAATTAACATTTTTAAATAAAATGTACATGTAACATCTAAAACCAGGTCGAGAACGTGTCCATGTTTTGTAATTCAAAAAAAAAAAAAAAAAAAAAAAACGTTAATTAAGTAATAACCGGTGATCAAATACTGTAGGTTACAGAAATTACCGGAAACCACGAACTAGTGCAAGTGCATTTATCATGTATCACTTGTATGCAGCGCCTCGGTGCGAATAAACAAAATTCCAGGAAAATATATCACCCAGAATATTCAACACGACGAGCTCTTTCATGTCTGTCAAGCGACAAGGCAGTTGTTGAGCCAAAGTCAAAGCACAGTGGAAATATGGTCAAGAAAACGAACACCACTGCACACGTCAGGTGTGTTAGCTACTTGATCTCTGACTTTTCAAGACAATTGTGGTTTTTGAGTGACAAGATGTTTTGTTGGATATAAATACGGTGTTATGATAAGCTGTTTATACCAGTTGGTGGCATTGCAAAATCTGTCACATTTCGTCACCGGTTAGTGCTCCTCTCAAAATGAACATTTCCTTGCCATCGGCATCAGTTGCGTCCACAAATTTGGGGCCAAACCCGCGTGTAAAGCCAGTCTTCTGCTCAGGCATGTGGTAAGAATTCTTTTACACGTCTAAGGTTTATGAGATACCAATTCTTTTTTTAACCAACTCACATCTAGCACTGTCGATTAAGATGACTCGACTCCAATAGCGTTCCAAATGGGAGCGATCATTGCTTCCAAGTACCGACCGATAAACGCATCTGGCGATATCTTTGCATGGCAGAGAGTAGTTATTAAGCAATATTCTTGTATGAGAGAGGGTTCATACAAACCGGTAGAGCATCAACTGTCTGTATATAGCCATTTATTTCCCATTCTCCTTGGATAGATAAGTCGGGATTTCAGAAAGACATTTCAAGTAAACAAGAAACGGAAGCTGTTTTCTACTGAATGGCAAAAATCATATTGTCGTTGCCTACAAAAATGTACTCCAACCACCTATAGCTCAAATGCTCGTATTTCTGCTGGCTGATGAGATAACCTCAAAGAGTTAACCTCCTATTACTCCCTCTCTGCTGAAAATGTAACCGAATCATGAAACATTTTCAGTCTCAAGCCAAGCGCCATCTAATTGTATCGAAAAAATAGAATTTCATTCGCATGCCCTGATTGCCTTCAATTGCGACTAAGAATTGTTTTCGTTATGCAAAGGACGAAGTCGTTAGTGCGGTCTAGTGCTAAGTGCTTCGCCTCGTTCTTCCTATCGTTGTATAATTGGCAATCACGCTTTAGTAAATGGGAGGTTGTCATGTAAAAGCATGCCGCAATAAGGGCCATCAGTCATTACGACAGAAGCTTGCCTTCAGTACGCAAAGTCATTTCATTTGCTCGTTTCGACAGATCACTCTGCTTCAGACATTTATCAAACCATCCAATAGCAAGGACGTCGCATTTACGGTGACAAAAAAAGGTATTGTGTGTTTCAGCTTTGGCAACATGAAATATCAGTTTCGTGATTTTGATTTCATTGTTCTTCACTTTTGATTTAAATGTATTTTTCGTGTCAATTCGTGGGCTACTATTGTAGGTGCAGGGGGAATTTAGGACAGCCTTGTCCGTCGCTTTTTACAGCATGGATTGGCAAACATTTGAATGGTGAAAGCATGTTGGTCATTTTTGGTTAGATGTCGTGTCAAACAATCGATCCAGTTACAGAAGTGCTTTTTTTAATCCGATCATGCAACGTTGCCTATACCATGTTGGCGTCAGCGTGGTTTAACGTGTGCAGAAGTTTATAAAAAAAAAAGAGTGTGTGTGTGTGTGTGTGTGTGTGTGTGTGTGTGTGTGACTGACGGTTAGAACGTTTTAGCTGCTTAATGTACAGACATGCATCAGAACTAGTAGTGTCCTCTGTTTAAATGTTATCAACTTCAACGCTTGTAGAAAGAAGCAACAAAAGCATGTTTTGTGAAATCTGATCCTAGATATTCACTTAATTAATGAAAACATCTTTGGACAAATTTGAGAAACATTTTGCGTAACTTGTTCACTTATAGTATGGGTTATTGCCACAGATTTTGACGAAATATAACAGTACCACGTCTTCAGCGACTAGGCTGCAATACAGCAACAGATGCCCATATAACTATAATTGTGCTACTTATATTCTTTATATTTAATGTATAATTGCATTTATTTCAGTTAATATTAATGAATTCAATATAAAAGTCTTTGTTACGTACGTTGAATTATAAAATGTCGCTATATTTCATGAGGGTAAGTTGACATTAATACCATTGAAGAAAATAGTAACCTCAATAAATAAAAGTTCATTGCAAACGACAGCCATTTATGTCAGTATTAAATTCACGCTGCTAAGGTAATATTGGAGTGAAAGTGGCATGTCCTTTATTTCAATACAAAATGCAGTCGTTTTATAGTGTTAAATTGTACCATTTGAGCACGAGTGAAAGGTTTATGTTAAGGAGGCAGGGGACGTACAGGTGTATCTTCCAGTACAATAACAACAAAAAAAAGATACTAATAATTTACATTTTCTGCCATCGAGTAGTTCCCTGTAAGATTCAGAGATAACCGCCATGTATTTTTAAAAACAAAATTCCCTTTTTTCTATATTTTTGACTTAACTCTATATTCCTTAATTCTGATGAAAAGTACGAATAAAAACATTAAAAAGGGATAACTTCACCTTTTTGATGTAACATTCTACAATTGACAATCCATTCCTCTGCTTTTTTGGCAGAATTTTGGCATTGTTTTTAAAGTTGCTCTTGGTTAGGAGAGAACTGCAAAGAACACTGTTAAAATTACAAAAAGGTCTCTATTACTATATCTACTATAAAGTGCAAAATGTGGATGGAAAATGTAAAATTTCAAACTTAATAATGATATAGCTATGCAATTATTGACTCTGGCCGAGGTTAATATGTTGTTTTGCAGGCCTCTGAAAAGGGATATAGACAGAGGATACGCTATCGCTTTACTGAGGTCTGTCGAAGTCAATACTTGTATAATATCTTTTCCATCATTTGTACCTGGCAACTGTTTAAATTTGGAAGACATAAAGTTACATTTTCTATGTGCTCATTCAATTTACGTAATGATTGCATAAATTCTTTGAGGGCACTTTGCAAAAATATTTAGCATTTCTTTGTAGAAAAAAACTTTTGCGTTTACAATATTCCACCTGTTGTATGAGTTTTGACATAAAGTTTCCAGGTTAACTATAATCAGCAGGGACACTTCCTAAGATATGGGTAAATTATGATTGGAAGATTCTATCAAGGTCTCTCTCTCTCTCTCTCTCTCTCTCTCTCTCTCTCTCTCTCTCTCTCTCTCTCTCTCTCTCTCTCTGTACATGTTTATAGCCTCACAAAGTAAGAAAAAAGCACATTATTAACCTACAACAGTTTTGAAAAATGACCCCAATTGACACCGGTATTTTTATGCATTTATTTCACATGATCCTGCTTTGACACATTATCCCTATGACTACTTTAATATTCTACCCGAATTGGCAGAAATAATTATTTTCCGTATCTTGTTATTCTTTCCTCTTATAACTTTTTACTCCTCGAGGAGCCTCATTAATCGCGAACACTTCCTTGTTTTTTTTCGTTGATGTTATGACTTATATACACATTAATGGTTTTTTTAATCTGACAACATTTGTTTGGGTGTTATCGAATCATTAAGCATATGACAATCTACTAATTTGCCATGGAAAGGGATACACTTAGCTGGTTCAGAGTAAATTGGCTGTTCACGTGATAGGTTTATGAGTCTAAAACACCATAAAACGACTTCAACTTTTTTGCAATCCGATTCAGACTTCTGCATGAAACCCCAAGCTCAAAGTTCGAATGTCAAGCATCAGCTACCATGCAGACACGGCACGAGACAGGTATTTTTTATTCCGTTTCGCCGTAGCTCCTAACGACTGTTTTCCCATGGAGCATTCGAACCTTGATCACGGGTCTGATGCGTTTGATTTAGAAAAAAGCTGGTCGGGTAATGTTTTTATCCTCTGATGTGTAGGGTAGGTGACTATGGTTGGAAGACCATTTCACTTTTGTTTCTATTTTAATTTGAATTCTTATTGCACTTTGTCGAAGTTTCGTCGGTAGTTTTGTTTCAGAAGCTGCCATAATGGAATCAAAATGTTGGGAGTATATTGGGAGATTTAATTAGATTTGTTAAAAATATTTCACCGGTAACGATCATTTTATAGTAGACTACTACGGTATTTTTATGTCGTCTCATGTGTTTTGAGTTCATTTACCGGTCAAATGACAGACGATAGAGGTAACGTGTCATGAAGTGCTGAAGTAAATAACAGTGCCATACGTACTCGAGATGTTTTTTGTAGTCAGTTATTATCCACTTATAACTTCTTTTTATTGGAAGAATTGTCGAATAGTTAACGAGATGGGGCTCATACTGGAAAGTAGTAGATTTAATGTACATGTAGTTGTGTTCCAAAAGTTAATATTGTTATTTTGAGCAACATGCCTGAACACATCCTATACGTTTTTGCAACTCTTAATCAGAGTTTTTTTTTAATGTAGACATAAGGTTCATATGTTGCTTTTTGCTATTTAAAAATTTATCTTACGTTTTTTTCTTTGCAGATTTACTGAATCGTACATTTTTTGTCCAAATACCCGCTGCTTTTGGGGTTCTGGCTGCTGCGTTGAGTTGAAGGCAAGCGCTATTACGAACCAATGAGGCAGAGGACGGCAGCTGCTTCCTCCGTGTTAAAAACATGAAAACGATTGGATATCACTGTCTTGAAGTGTGACATGCAATTTTGGGCTTAGACACAATGAACGGAAATGTTACTTCATGGGAAGACTTTCAAATTGAAGTACATAACGCTGTTCTTCGCTTCTTCTGACAGGAAACCCTCTAAATGCTATGTAAAAAATAGCCATCGTCCACTTGCCGCGAAAGGACAATATAACTTGGAGAAAATTGAACCTAACACCCTCGTCGAGAAATCGGTCGGGAAACTCTGAAGAAAGGTTTTACGGGCTGAACATCCCATAGGATTCCACAATGGCTGATTCTTCGTGCAATATGACATCGAATATATATCAGTTTCTATACAGAGCGGAAGGGATTGCTCTGTTTGTGATGTTATCTGTTATTAGCGTCACAGGGGCTGTAGGGAATGCCCTCGTTTTCGCAGTGTATTGGAAGAAACAAGATCAACAAACATCCACGTTCTTTATCATCACCTTGGCGGTGACCGATTTTATTACGTGTATCATAAACGTTCCGTTCACGCTTGTTATGGAGTTTATCAATTTGCAAATAGAATCTGATATACTTTGCAAGCTTTATCTATTTCTCGTCACGTCCACGGTGCCCTTCTCTACCTTCATCATGGCGGCCATTGCGGTTGACCGCTATCTGTGTATCTGTCACCCACTGTTGCATTTGATGAACCTCACACGGGCCAAGGTAACGGTAGGGGCGTTGGCGTGCCTGGCCGGATTTGCAGGCCTTATGGTGGGACTTTGTCACGGAGTCTACCAGCTCTGTCCAACTTACAGTATTAACACAACAATGGAGTACACAACAGATCCCACATGGTCCAATTATAGTATGATGGCGCCATTTGCCCAGGCTGTGAAGTTATGGGAACCGTCCCCAGATCAGGAGATCAGATACACTGGTTTTTGTCGGCCGAATACATTCATACTCGGTGCTGAAGTAAGATTATCTTACAAATACTTCCACATAAGCTTATACCTGGTATCCCTCATTACCATTATTGTTCTGTACTCGCTTTTATTCAAGTCGGTGATCGACAGAAGACGCAAGAAAAGAGAACAACGCGCTCAAGTTCCAACTTTGTTAAACGGCAATAAAGAGGCCACTGAATTACACGTCGTTTATAACAAAAAAGGTTCTTTCACTAAGACCGTCGGCTCACGCAATAATTCTCACGGCAATGTCGATTTACCGCCAGAAATTGAACACAGGCGGTTGATGGAAAAAGCGCGGGACCGGAAAGCCAATGTAAAAACGGCTCTTATGCTCTTCGTCGTTGCTGTTGTATTTATCATAGGCTTTCTTCCTGCAATTCTGATGAGCAGCAAAATTCTTATACCAACAAACCATGATGCAGCTAAAATATACTTTTATTTTTACTTCTGGAATCACGTGGCCAATCCAATTATTTATTCGTTTATGAACGAGAATTTCAGGGACGAAATGAGGAAACTTGTCCGTTGCTGTTGACTTTCTTGTCTCTGTCATCTTAGGAGTGTGATAGAACATTTTCGGCTAAAGAGTCCATTTACCAATTGTTAAGGCATCATTAATAGGACAGGTATCCTGTAATTTCAGTCTTGATGGCCAAAGGGGGTCGTATTCAGTGCCTTTTTTTAAGTGTGTGACGACTTACAAAGAAGCCTACCTTGACTCTTCTGTATGTACCGGTAAATGTAGGCCTACTAGTAACAAACGTATAAAAACTAATCACATTGTCAAAAAACTGTATTGTTAACACAAAGTGTTTATTAATGGAGTATTTCTGTGTTACCAAGGTTTGCTTCTGGTGTTGTACAATACTGTGTGTTATTCTAATTTACAAATCTCGTTGTTTCATAGAACAGATAAACAAACCAATACAGTGGCTGATACAATAAGGAGTGGTTCAAATGGGCTGCTAAGAAGAACATTTCACCTTGTTTTGCTCTATATTTCTGCATACAAGAAAAAAAATATTTAAAAAAGGGGCTTAAGGGGGTGATACGCCTCCTGTGCCGATTTTCGCAAGTTGTATTCTATTGAAGATGCGTGAACATGTACAGTGGCATGTTCTCAAACGACCAATTTAATTTAACTGCGTCACTGATGGAGCCACTTCTATTGCAATTGGCAATATAGCGACTAAAACCATCAATAAAACTGACAAAGAGCAAAGGAAGTAATCAACCATATGTATAAAACTCTCAAAGGAATTAAGATATTACGATTTAACCAATTACTTCGTTTTCTTTCCTGTTCGTTTCATCTTTTGATTTCATTAAAGCTAGATGTTATTTTATTAACGAACTGTCATGTATGGATAAATGTGTATAACAGACTGTTATGTTGAAAAAGAGATGCGTTTCCATTATTCTATTTATTATTAGTGGTGTTTGTGAGAGAGTAATTCAAGTACCCGTATCGTACTTTTGTAGAGAGTTGAGTTTTTACTAAAAGCACACTGTACAGTGTAAAAAGACAAAAGAAAGGGATGACGTTCAAATTTTTCGCCACGACTGCAACTTCAGTGTCCTCCCCTTTAATTATTTACATGTACTTCGTTTTATTTCTTGTTCGTTTCATCTTTTGATTTCATTATAGCTAAATGTTATTTTATGAACAAAATTTCATGTAGGGATAAATGTGTACAAGAGACTGTTATGATGATTAAGAGGTGCGTTTACTTCAATTGTTCATAGTGAAATTGGTGAGAGAGTAGTTCATGTACCAGTATCGTACTCTTATATTGGGCTGAGTTTTAACAAAATCACACGTTACACCACATATTTCGTTCAAAATTGTCGCCATGACTGCAGGTTTCGTGCCCTCCCCTACGCAGGGGCTATTCATGGGTAATTTTAAACGACCGTAGTAACAAATGAAAGAAGTTACGGGATGGCCCAAAATGTGCTCACTCTTTGACTGCCCATTACTCACCTATTTTGATGTGATTAAGACGTTCATTGAATACACAAGGGTATATTCAAGTGAGTAACTTTTGGGACACTACATACATACAGTGAGTGCCGTTACAATTTGTTCATTTGCAAATGAATGTACCAGTACATAAAGTAAATCAATAGGAATGATAACATAGACTATTCTTTCATTCTTCCATTTGTCACAATGTCATATGTTGCAATATACATGTAGGCCTATAATGTACTTATTTTGTTTTCTTGTAACATTCATCATTTACTGTACCACCTTTTTACAACTTACACACTGAAGTTTAAGTTTCCCCTTGCCAGCAGCCACAATGATGAGGTCATTAAAGAAGACCAGGTAATTTTAAATGCTCGGTAACATCGATGCTTTTTTTATGTTTATTTCGAAAATATTTTAATATTTAGTCGATGGACAAAACGGTCCCGTCTTCAACACGTATACATGAAGTTGAAATTAGTATGTTTTAAAAATAATAACGAAGGACTCGATAATTGCTGCTGTTACACAAATCTACAGAAACATTTTATTCCAGTAATAGCGATTTAATCACGTACAAATCGATTAAAGCGGATGTCAATTGAAAGAAGTGTCAGGTTATTAATAGTTTATATAATAGTACAAAGCTACGGATCATGTTTCATTCCTGAACGCCTCCGCAGCATGCCACCACCAGCGGCGTTAGGCAAGGAGATGTTTTATTACGTACATTGTTTGACATTTACGCAAAATTTGATCACGGTGCTAAATGCTATAAATCCTCTTATAAAGAACTTGAGATGGTGCTAATTTCCCTATAATTTTATGGCCCTCTTGGGTCAGATATTATGTATTTCGGGATTGGGGAAATAATTGCTTCTTTTTCGTTACGTACGTAGGAATGAGACTACTATTAAAACATAACCTGAAGGATTAATTCTACTAAAATTCTCATTACTATTCTTTACCCAAGAATGTCGTTTGCTACATGTACTATGCCAGTGAATAGCCACGGCTTTCCATTTTTCTTTTGTTTAAATCACGAAAATTGCTACCTTAAGAGTAGAGGTATTATATCTTGAGAATTGAAAAGATTTTTAAATTCAAATTTCCAGTTGTCTAACACGTTTCTTATTTCTGCTATTTAGCTACCCTTCTCATATCTATTGCCAATATTTGTATCGTCTTTGTTTCCTCACAGCCAACTTGTAGATAGATGCATTTAAACTTACTTGATAAACACACACACACACACACACACACACACTGTTTCACACACATGTAGTATATATTTACTTAAAGCTTGTTTTGCCTGCTTTTAAAACGCGATAAAACCCTTTGATATGTCACGGTGTCGAGTTTGATAGATTAGATGTAATAAACACAGAACTGTCCACCTGAAACTTGGATTCTGAGAATCGGAACAGTTCACATGGTGAGAATATTAACTGCTCTTTCCCTCCTTTTCATGTCTTATTCTAATGTATTAATCTTCAAATACCGCACTCAATTAGACTCATAGTTGAATTTCATCATTTTTGACAACTGGAATGAAATTGAAAGTGCACTGTGTTCTCTCTCGCTTTTCAGCTAACGAACAAGTTTACACTTTGCGGGTCAGGTTTCCGTCCAGACTTAATTACACTGCCGTTATTTGGCTTTTACAAAAGGTCATCGGACGTACCTCTTTCCCTTTCAAATCACAGATGCTAATAAAACTGTCACATTCGGTTTTTCCTCACGGTCAAATTCGTTCTGGTGAAATTAAAAGTATCTTGCCTCATTAAATGCTTCGATTTAGCCAAAAATGTACAAAACTATCCATAATGAACATAAAAGGATAAAAAATACGTGGATTCATTCTCGGAGTAAAAAACCCTTGCATCCAGGAGTTCATCATGTTTTCCCCATGTTCCATCGAGGTTGAACACAGTGGAGAAGAGCAGTATAAAATAAGGCTTTTCCACCAAGACATCAGGGCATCCGTTTTCTTTTTTCCATGATCTAATTTCCGTACAATTTAATCTTAGGGTGTCATTGAAGTGATAGGTACTAAAGTACCTCAACGGTATATACCACTATCGTATATCCTAAACTAATGTAGTTATACAGACCCAGGTGATAACAATAAGAGCATTATGCATAGATGCACGGCACGCTAACCTCCTATTTGAAACCTTTAAGTAAACACATTTATTAAAGACACTCACCATTATTGATATACCCAAGCACAAAGTCGGTCAATTTTGCAAATTAAGTCTTTCTGAAACAAATTGGAGTCGAACACAAATACATGTCGCACACGGAATGTGTAACTGACCCCTTTCCAAATGAAATGGCACATAAAAAGATCTTTTACAACATCATAGTACGCGTGTGGGACGCAGTGGCTCTAGCTGTAGAACCACTTAGCTTTTCACAAACAAAACCGCTGCATAGATTCACAGCGAATGCTTTATGGACGCATCCTGTCTGAGAGTCAGTGCGTCTCTTATTACTGCAATTATCTTTTCATATACCCCATATCTCTGTCTGCTGGGGAATCATTAGTTCTAGCATAGATTAGTTTATAATTGAATCCAGGTTCATGTGTTAGATTGATAGGAAGTATACCTCAACTGATCTTCGTTCTTTGCCACTGCCACCTACATCCGAACCTTAAATTCGTTTTGATTCAGGACAATTTCCTTTGCAGTCTTTTTTTCTTACTTGGCTTTCAAACAATGAAAAAGAGAAAAAAATCAGTGGCAGGTCAGGGATGACGACATTAACCGTTAGCCTTGAAATACAATTTAGAAACCAGCTGCGGTGAATTGTCATCTCACCGGCGGTTCCAGAGAGATTATTTTTTCTCTATCTCAGTGCCGCCTGGTGCCACCCGCATTCTCTCCACTCTGAATTAAGATCCTCAAACCACCAGTGCATCTGAAAACATTTTTTTTATAAATCGTCCTCAATTAATGTGAGTTGAAAGTTCAAAAAAGAAAAGCACATTTTGTCAACAGCTGGGTCAATCGCAAGACTCTAGTAGTATATACATGTATGCCTTGTGTAAGGCCCAATCTCTTCTGGTTTACTTTTCTATCAGGGCCGTAGCCTCCGGGGGCAGCTGCCCCCCCCCCCCCCCCCCTGGGATTTGAGGTGCAAACAAAATCGGCCCTGATGAGGAAGACAACCTAGAAGTTGAAGTGGAAAAGTGGGAACTGTTATTTAGTGATGTTCCTAAGGATATGTGGCCAAAGGATGCAGCAGCTGCTCTTATTTCCTGTGACCATGACTATTTCCCTGCACTTCGTAGGATCTTTACAATCTTCCTTGCAACACCAGTGGGCAGTATTGCATGCGAGAGATCATTTTCAGCCCTCCGTCGTCTGAAACTGTGGACACGCACAAGCATGGCAGAGGAACGCCTTAGCGGATTGGCTCTCTTGCTTGTCCACAGAGGAAGAAACGTTATTCCTGATCCTGAGACAATCTACGAAATGAAGTCCAATTGGCGTGTTGTGTTGAAAAAATGACTGTACTTATGGCAAAATTAACCCACAATTTCTGACTTCTGATTGAGCAATAAACAACAGTTAAAATGCACCAGAATGCAGTATTATACATTCAGTTTTTAAAAAATTTTCCACACCCTGGGAGGGGGACACCCCCTCCCACACCCTCCCCCCTCGGGGGCTTCGCCCCCCTCGTGTCCGCTTACTGCC